TCTCTCTCTCTCTCTCTCTCTCTCTCTCTGCCCCTCCCCTCCCCCACTCTCTCTCTCTCAAAAATTTTTTTTTAAATGGTTAAAATGGTAAATTTTGTGTTATGTATATTTACCACAATACAAAGAATAGTTAAAGTGTATTTAAAGCTTCTAGTTGGGGCAGGGGGCTCCTGATGTGGGAGGATCTGCCCCCTGGGGGGTGTCTGGACAGGCTGCTGCACTGTGTATATGTGGAGTGTGTGCTCATGCATGTGCACAGATGAGTAAGCCATTCAAAATTCACTTTTTCACCCAAATGATTCTCTTCATACTCACATTGAACACGTTGTGTCACTGATGGACTTTAGCATTTCAAAATTTATGGGGTTTTGGTTCTGTTTAAAAATTGATTTCTGGGACGCTTAGATGGCTCAGTCGGTTGAGCATCCAGCTCGGGTCATGGTCTCGAGGTTTGTCAGTTCAAGCCCCATGTGGGGCTCTGTGCTGACAGCTGGGAGCCTGGATCCTGCTTCGGATTCTGTGTCTCCCTCTCTCTCTGCCCCTCCCCAGCTTGCACTCTGTTTCTCTCTCTCAAAAATAAACATTAAAAAAATTTTTTAAATTGATTTTGGGGGCACCTGGGTTACTCAGCTGGTTAAGTGTCCAACTTTGGCCCGGGTCATGATCTCACGGTTCGTGAATTTGAGCCCTGCATTGGGTTCTCTGCTAACAGCACGAAGCCCACTTCAGCTCAGGTCATGATCTCAGGGCTCGTGAGTTTGAGCCCCGTGTCAGGTTCTGTGCTGACAGCATGAAGCCCGCTTCTGATCCTCTGTCCCCCTCTCTCTCTGCCCCTCCCCCATGCACATGCGTGCTCTCTCTCTCTCAAAATAAATGAATTTAAAAAACGGTTAGATTTTTTTAAAAAATTGATTTCTAACCTAATTGCATTGTAGGTAGATAAAATAATGTGTATGATATAGATCCTCTGATTTTGGCTCAGACTTTCATTTTGTGTTTTTGTAAATGTTCCATATACACCTGGAAAAATGTTTCCTAACGGTTGCGTGCAAAGTTCTATGTAATTCTCCTAGTCTCCTACCATGTATACAAACCATCTATATCCTCATGGATTTCTGCCTCCTTTGTCCATCGAGTACTGAGAGAGGTGTGCAGGAATCTCCACTTCGACTGTGGGTCTGGTAGCTTCTGTCATGTTGACTGTTTTGTGTTTGAGATGGTACTATCTAATGCTGTTTGTCACACCTTCATCTTTGTGGTAAACTGTTCTATCACCTCTAAATATGACCCTCTTTTTCTCTGTAATGATTCTTTTGCCTTAAAGTGCATTAGTTATACAGATATCACTCTCCAACTTTTCTTTTGGTGATCATTGTATTTTCTTTTATTATTAACCCTTCTGTGTCTCATATTTACATTTTTTATGAAAAGCATACATCTCGCTTTTGTTTATAATGAAAACACCTGTGTCAGTAGGATTGTATTTAGCCTTCTGGAACTGAAGCACCCCTCCCCCGATGGTCCTCCAAGTAGAAGTTTATTTTCCCCACACAACAAGGCCCAGAGAGATGCCCC